AGGGCAAGGTATTTTCACTGGACCGGAGTGTGCCTGAATTAGACCGAACCTTCTAACTGCTGGAATGAAGTAAATAGCGGCTTTCTAACCATGATAATAAGAAGGCAGGCCGGCGCGGACGGCATTCCGACAAAATTTATTTCGGAATTCGTGGGCAAAAGGACCAGAGAGTATTATGAAGTCTGTTTAATGCAATTGCCTGATTTCCGGCTCGTATCCAGAAACGTGAGTAAGCTATCTCCAACCAAATTTTTAAGAATAAAGGGGAGCGAATTGCCACAAATTATGGGAGGGATTAGTCTTTGCCAGCGCTAGCAAACTGTTCTGTAAAATTCTCAACGGGCGGACTGAGTGGAATGGGCGAAGAGTACGGTTAAAATTATCAGAATTACAAGCAGGATTTAGGAGAGCCGCGACAACCGGACAATATATTTGTTTAATACCCTAGTAAAACAGGCCTTTGGCGTAAACGCGGGCACTTATATTGCATGTTTTGTGGATTTGAAAAGGCTTTTGACTCTATCTAATATGGGTTAAGTCGGGCAAAATTATATTCTAGTTTTGCGTTCACGTGAAATAAAATTGCAGAGCTCTGAGGCGTTACGCTGCGCGTTTATACTGAACTTGAGACAGTGTGTCACGGCGTGAAAATCATATTTGTGACCGATGTACGACCAGTGACTTCACGCAAAAATAAGAATCGACAGTAGGAGTAAGACAGGGATGGTCTCTTTTCAGCCGCTGCTTGTTTATCTCTTTTATTGCGGTAATGATGTTATTGAGTGGGTGAAGGAAAGCGGATACAGCGGCTCCGTAATTGATGGCCTGAAAATCCCCGGAACTACTATATGCGGGATGATTAGTTTTGTGCTCGGAGACGATTGAGGGCTTACCAGAAAGTTTTAAATATCCTAGAACGTATACTGTGATACTGGGACTAAAAGTAATAATTCAAAAACGAAATAGTATCTTCAAGAATGGGTTTATTTGGGTAGGCAAAGAGAAAATGTATACGCTAGGGAAGAAATTGGACCGCGTTAAAACATTACATACTACTTGGGCAAAATTTTCCATGACATGGGGGATGGAATAACCATATATTGACGGCTCAAGCAAAGGAAGAATTGCGCTCAAAGAAATCGGTTTGCGCAGTGCGCAGGGTTCCGAAGATTGCCGAGTAAAAGTATGCGGATTACTATTTTCAAATCGTTAGTTCTCCCAGCTATGAAACTATGGAGCAGAAACTGGGAGTGGATAGGTATAGATCGAATTATGAAAGCATCGAAACAGATTATTGCAAATTAATTCTAGAATGTCTAAGGTTGCGCAGCAATGTCGAGTCTTAGAGAGAGGTCCGGTATTTAGGAATTTTGGAAAGATTTTAAAATGGTAACTATAAACTCTGGATTAAGTTAGCAGATGAACAGGCTGACACACTTATACATAGTGCTTTAGGAGCGCAATGTCAGGGAAGCGACCATCGCTACTGGGGCACAAAATTAAACGGCTACTTGACGCGCAGGGTGGGAGAAACGTCTCTCGGAAATGGTGGGAGATTAGGGGAACCGTGAGATAGAAAGGCTGAAATTTCGATAGACTTGCGAATATTAAAAGAGGCAAGAGATCTGGGAGCACGGCTGAAAAACGTTCGCTGGAGCTCAAATCCATGCAGTCCATTATGGGGTGCGAAAGTTACATACTACTCTCGAAAGACGCAAGAGGGGATACGCTTGGTTCAGGGTTGGCGGGGGATGCAGCGTGACTAAAAGGACGCAAGTGGTAATGGCATCTGTGTGCTTTGCGTGATGAGGGAAGACTGATCCACATCCTCTTAATTTGCTGATGCAACCGAAACATGGAGAAAAAATGGATGGGATGGGAAAATTACTACTTCCTAACAGAACGTAACGCTCGCCCAAAACAGTTAAGTTGTAAAAAGATCTTAAATTTTAATTAAGATTAGGAACATTTTTTAGAGGAAGGTCGGACCGTTGCAGGGAAACTGAAATTAGGGTAGGTGGGAACAGCAGCTGTGTTAGCGTTGAGCGGAGCCTTAGACTGGAGAGAAATTAAATAAGTCAATAAGCTAACAATAAAGTACGGAATTTATTTAAATTAGTAAAACAGTCAGTAAACAGAAATAAGTCAAAGTTAGTCAATGGTAAATAAACTGCGGACAATTACAAATAAATAAAATTAAAACTGCATAGTAAATAAGGCACATTAGGGGGTGAAGGAAGGGGGGATCGGAAAATGTAAGGGCAGAGGCGTTGGTGCGGACGATCTTCTGTGGCCGCCGTTGATTTCAGGTGCTGAGGAGGCCAAGCACTGGGAAGGGAGACGGCGGGACGCCGCGCCAGAAAGAAAATAGCTAAAAGAAATGTCGGATAGATTAGGAATGATTACTCGGCTTCTGACGGCAGGTTTTTCCCCTTTCAGGGTTTTTTCCTGAGCCGTACCTTGTGTCCCTTTTCGGCGGCTTCTGATGCGAATGATAGACCATTGGGTGAATACCAGAATTCGAAAGATTAGAACGCGAAAGATGTAGGTATTTTAATGGCTTAAAGGCCTTGCGGCCTAGCCACATAGCTATCAAGTAATCTAATTTGTTTGTAATAATTACCTATTAATATATACTCATATATATAAATGAATACAAAATCTTGTTCTTGTAGTATTAAAGTTTTGTTCTGAAACATTCACAATCAAATGGGGTGATAAAAACATAAAGGTCGCCTGATGACTGATAAAGCCCACTAAGTAAATTCTGATATTGAGCATCATGTCACTTAGGTATAAAAAACTCTTTAAAATGCTGATGGTAACTCCACATTATACAAGACTAATACCATAGCACGTTAACGCGCCTGAATCGCTAACAACCCAACCAATGAATCAACGAAGCCAAAAAACACGTAGTACACTTACCAGGACTAGATTACATTAGCGTGACACTCCGGAATCATCAATCAATGTAACCGTTCCAAAATCACGCACTACACAATTACAGGAAATAATGATCTTAGCAGTTGACCGCGCCCCGAATCATTGATTTATTGATTAATCAATCAACCATCCTCCCCCCTATGAGCTAGGGGTTCCAGACTTCTGCCTCGTTTGCCTCCGCCGAAGCTTCCGCAGTCTTTAACAGCGGGACGCGCCTCTATCTCGCGGAATTCCATTAAGTGGCTGTGGCTCGTGCTGCGTGCAATTAATTCCAGGTCCCCTGCTCCTCGGGTCACCGGGCACATTTGCATCCTTTAATGACGCTATTAGCGAGCATTGCAGTTGGTTGTGCATTGTGTTCCACGGGAGATGGGATCGAGACGAGGCATCGCTGAGCCCCTTGTCTCGTCGCGATAAAAATGCTCTGAACGACCGGTTTCCACTGATATTTCGATCTGAGGTGACGCCGTCGCGGGGACCGCCGTGTGCTTCGCGCCAAGAGAATCACGTGCTTGATGGAAGGTCATCGCGGAGAATGTCGTATAGAGCACTGCCAAAGTTCATGTTAAATTACACCTGTTGTTTAGTTTGCGGGCGGCATAATTGGCAGCCATCCGGCTGTAAGATTTACTTCTTCTCGAATGATTTGGTATTTTTTTTAGAGATCGCTTACTACTGAGATCATTATTTCCGTAAGTGTAGTGCAGGTCATAGCTGAGTGGTTGTGGTGTTTCTTTTCGCTGAGATGTAGCGCCGACCCACTGGTCTGCCAGCGGGTTTCCCTCTCTGTGTATCTACGCTAACAGGGGGGGAGCTCTAAGCTCCACATCGTCTATTGGACGACGCGTGTTAAAATGGCGTATACCGCCACAATAGGCACGCGCACGACGATACGTGCATTTCACTGGCTAGCCACACAATGAAGATGCACAGAGTTTCAGAAACGGGGAGTGAGGGGAAGGGGGTGAGGGGGGGTGCTTTCGGCACTAGATGCGTCGTCCGACAGACGACGCTTTTGTCATCTAGGTTTAACACTGTTTAACACAAGTTAGAATCAACGTTTTGTTAAATACTTGATTCAGAAAAATTGTACTTGATACCGAAGATACTCGTATATGTGGTACTGTAGGGTAACGTGCGTACACATCTGTACACATGAGTGCGTTGTATAGGAGAAATGTAACAATATTACAGTTTTCTATATCATTTACTTATTTTGAATATCATAATATGCTTTGAAATACGCACCGACATCATTGTATTACGTTGTTTTACACAATTGGCACTAAATCAAAAAACTAATCAACACGGTGCATTTTCTGAGACACAAAATTGACCACATACTAATTTTTTTGAATAAAATAGCAGTCTGGAATATAGTCTGCAGTATTTTGAAGGGTGCACCTCTTAGGGTGGTATTTACGCGCTGAGTGTCGAGATCCAGAGCCGCCCTACCTATCGGCAAGCTGGGTTTTCCCCAACCATGTTCCTCTGACCGGGATGTCCTACGTTCGAGTCCCGACGGTTGCAGTATATTCGACACTAGCTTTCCAGCTAATTCGAATTTAGTCGCTGTCTGGAGGAGTATTCTAGAGACCGGCTGCTCTGATCGGTAGTTATTCGTGGTTTCTCAAATCAATACCAGGCGAAAGCCGGAGCAGTACCCTAACACACGTGCTACGGACTGCACGTGATATTTCCTACATGTTTCTTGTCCTATCCTCACCCTTTACACACAATTACACCACCATACATGCCGGGAGACCGGTGGAAAGCTTAGAGCTTATCCCTGGGGCGGTGCCCCGCTGGTGGGAGATACGTGGTTGGGGAAAACCCGCTAGCCGACGGTAGGTCGGCGCCTGATATCATCATCCGCCGGAGGAAGATCACCGCCTCCTCCCGAGGAAAAACACGCACTACTCTTACGGGACTGATGTCCATAGTAACTGAGTCACTAACAATCGCGCGAATCACTAACAATCAATCAATCAATCAATCAAATCCCCACCATGTATCTCCTGTCAGCCGTACATTGATTGAAGGTAGTTGCTTTGATGAAAGTGTATGAAGCGAAAGCAATTAGGAGATGCTGCAAGTCATTGCGACAAGATATAAAAGCAGGGTATCGTTTGGAAAGTGGCACCGACCCTAATGGGTAAATAAATAGGACGTGACTATAATTTTTTAGAGATGGTCTGAATCGATAATTGAAATATATTCAAAATGTTAGAAAGAGCTGACTTCTCGCGAGAGAACGACCCATGCTCTTATAGCGTGGTCGTAGTTCCGTTTCGAAGATTTTGATCCAGGAATATGTGAAATGCACATTTAAAATTCGGAAATATCTTGTAATATCTTGAAATATCTTAGAATATTATGTAATACAGATGATGAAGTGGTCATGCAAGTTATAACACATCAAAAATTACTTTTTAATTTCCAATTACATACCAGAATTTCAGTACATCAATATTTTCCTCCAAGATCACTTGCTTTTGAATTTTAAAGATAAAGACAGCAAAATAATGTTGAGAGACCTATTCGCACTACATGTAGCTCATTATTATTGACTATTTTGCATTTGTTTCGAACAGGACAATGAGATAGAAAATTAATAAATATTAAAGATGAATAAAGTGTTAAAAACGTAGGAAGCATATAGAACAAATAACTGACTATATTTTATAGAATAGACAATATTTAGGAGAACTATTGTGATACAGAATTATCTCCTCGTATTATACGAAATATTAAAACAGCCATAACTTTGTTCCGGATGTCAAACGTGAGCTGGCAGACTCCGAGTCCTTTACTACGCTCGTTTCAGAGACAAAAGAAAACTAGGTATAATAAAGCAAAACATTCTTTCTTGCATTTTTCTAAATTTGCAATTTTCGAATTATCAAAGAGTTCAACAAAATGAAACATGAAGGAATAAAAAACACAAAATAAAGAAGTAAAGAATTAATTGACTAATTTGTCAGTTTAGTAATTTAGTATGTTAATTTCACCGGTCTCTAAACGTACTCTAAGAAAGAATTAGAAATAACATTTTATGAAATTATATATCGTATTCATTTTAAGAAAATCACCAAAATATCTTGAAAAGTACAGAAAGTAGTTTGCAGTTATGCAAAGTAAATGCCGAAAGTAGTTTTTAGATATGTTTAATACATTCTTTTATTATATTATACAATGTAGAGAGCATGCAAAGACGATTATTGTTGAATTGCATTACAAAAACTCTGTTTGCATATACGAAGTTGCTACTTAACTTGAGTAAAAAAGTCACCACCCTCATGTCTATGGTCTTCAAGTCCGGATCTGGGGCTACAAGACCTTCATATAGCAACTCTGTGCGTATTATTCGGGGCATGGTTCATTTTCGGTCTGTACTGAACCAATCTGTTTTTGCCAAAGCAAACCCTTTAACTCGTCAAACTAAATGCCGCATTCCTCGAGTTGAGGAATGGAATGCGGTGTTGTATTTTAGGCACGTGAAGCTGTAAAGTTAAGAATAAAATTTGTTCTCCCATCTTGTTAACATAGGGACGCGGTAGTAAACGGAGGGAGTGGGAGGGTTTATATAGAGTCGGCGCGGCGCGGGGCCCCGTGTCCGAGGAGGGCCATATACCTGTTGGGCCAATTGGTGAGAGCGCCCGTGCCGCAGGCCCTTCGTGCCGCACGCCGCTAGCGCCGCAGGCGAAGCACTCGCGCCCAGCAAAAAGGTGGTTTGAAGCCCCCTTCCAAATTGTCTATTCGGGGAATTGTTATTAGCACAGGAATGTCTAGACCGGAGATTCCCAACATTTTTCTTTCGTCGACCGCTTTGAAAAGCTTTGTTTGCCTCGCAGACCTTTCTCCATCATTCACAGCCCAAACCATATTCATTACAATGCTGATACACGACGTATTAAATATAATTACACGAAGAACACGAGCAATTTCTTTGAACACAATAGATTTGTTGCTTTATTTTCGTATTTTTTTAAAATTTTCAAATGTAAATAATATCTCATACGGAGATACATAATCACAAATTCAAATTGCCCAAAAACTCTATTTTCATTTTAGTAAGTGATGTAAATTTTCAAACCGTCCCGTATCACGTCATACTGTTAATCATATCGTTAATATGTAGTGATCACTAATCTTCTAGCTGTTGATACGACCTTAAATTAATTTAAAAAATGTACAGAGTACTGTTCAGTTTGCTTGATAGAGGATACATTCTAGAATTCCAATTTTATTCCTTTGTTGTGGTTGTTCCTGTTATTATTATTATTATTATTATTATTATTATTTGTGTATAGGACATTTCTGACCATGCTACACGTTCTCATCGGAAGCCCAGTCATATTCTTTTCTGGAGAGAGATTAACGTGTGTAATTATGGAGATGTATCCCTTCGTCTGACAACGTTGTTAAGCCTTGAATTATGAATTGTGAGATGATAAAATGATGTTGAAAGGACGGTTATTATTATTATTATTATTATTATTATTATTAATATTATTAATATTATTATTACTATTACTATTACTATTACTATTACTATTTACTGTAGCTTATTAGCTAAGCGTATAACCCTTGCTTTTCTTGTACATCGTGAAAGTAATTGTGTAAATATCTTTCTTGAGCAAATTGCGTTTCTTCTTCCTTAGCGAAGATGTTTAGTACAAGGTTTCTAATCTTCTTTTATAGGGCGAAGATTTGCCGCCACTTCTCTTTGTATTGACAAAGAAGATTGATGAGAGTAATCATTCTCAGTATTGTTCAATTTATTAATTAGAAATTTGATCCGTCCTTGTCACTTCAAGTAATGATTTAAGGAACCTCATTTCTGACTCTTGAACTCTCGCCCAATTCTTTTTCGTCGTAGTCCACTTCTAATTATCGTTCGAACCGTTCGTCATACACACAGTTTTGTAAAAGCTCAATATTGTTCCAGGACTCATCGAGGCGTTTTCGTGTCGCGGGGCCCTGGTCTCATTCAAGACAACGTGTACTCGAGTGGGGCCACAATCACTGACAGCCCCTCGGCGATACTCGACTGTGAACCTCTGGCCCTCTCTCCGCTCACGACACTCCAGGTACTTGTCCCATTGCATCGAACAAGCCATTTGCTCAGGAATGCCATGCGTTTCTTGAGAGATAAAACAAAAATATTTTTTATCAGGTTAACGAATAAGCAATGTGTTCATTGTAACGTGTTTTCGAAATTAGTATATTCTATTTAACTTGTCAGATATATTAAACAACTTTTGTCGAATCATCACAATTTGTATGATATTGTAAATAAATTAAAATGTATGAGAGGCAGACAGTATTCTTGAATTCTCAAACGAATCAGATAAAGGCCTGGTTCTTTTTGTTGTGGTCTAGTTCTAATTTCGTACCAACCATTCGTCGCATCGGCAATGTTGTAAAAGTTCAACATTGTTTCTGGACTCGTCCGGGCGTTTTGTCGTCATGTGTCGCGTCATGTGCGTGTGTGTGTGTGTGTGTGTGTGTGTGTACGTAAGTGATCATTCATCATTCGCGTTTAAAGTGATTCTGCAATCTTTATTCGCATTTATCTAACAATTGATTGTCTTATCTCTGCCTTAAAACTAGAAATACCCATACCAATTACGAAATAGCTTCGCTTAAAAGGATCACGAATATCAGATGTAGTTGGTAGCATTGTTTCTTCAGTGCATTTGGATGCCTGGTCTAAGTAACCCCTATATTAGTATGTACCCAACGAATATGCATCGTGTCAGCAACACGAGGCTGCGAGCTTTTTCACATTGTGGAAGAGTAAATATCCTTTCTAGCACTCTGTGCATACCAACGGGATTTCTAGAGAGCGTATGTTTCTTGTGAGTGCACTCCCCAAACTTGGCGACAGGAGGGCTGTTGAGTGCATTTGCAGTGACAGTGGAAATGCATTCCATAAGTCAAAAGAACGTTATGAGAGGATGCGTCGGTCAGGAAGACCATCGCCGGTTCGCAAGTATCCCACCTTGTGGTTAGCGAGGTTCTAATTCACTCCGTGTGAAATTGGAAGTGGACAAAAAGAATCACAAGTTTCCTGGCGGATTTTCTTTTTTCGTTTTTTTCCCAGTCTGGCATTTCACCACTGCACACTCGTTCATATTATATTGACATCATTTACATTACTTTATCGATTATCACTAGAGCTGTCATTTGTAAGCATTTACATCTATTTTTTTATTACTAAAGCATCCATTTGCAACAAACAGGAATTTCAACTAAAATGAGACTTGCACCATTATTTTATGCGTCCTTTACGCTATCTGACGACAAAGTTTAATTTAAAAAAATTTGGAACCATTTCTGAAGAAACATTTGAAAATGTAGTTGAGGCTTCCTGTAAAGTACTCCCAAATAATAAAATATCCACTCAAACTCGCAGGGCCTCGAGTTCCATTAAATCTATCAAGAAATATCAATTTTGGAGAAAATTAGGTCCTAGGCAGATGGACCACAGCGCTTGACCGCACAGGTAAACGGACGGACAGCCGTCAAGCGAGTTTTCGGTATCAAGAACCCGCAAATTGTATTCTGACTACACTACGGGGAAGTAAGTGCCTTTGCATAGAAACAAGATTTATCAACGTTTTGGTGGCCGGGGCCCGTCAATGAAGAGTTTTTCTGTCTAAAATTCTCCGTTATCCAACGCAGTATTACAATACTTCCTATTCTTATGAAGTAGGAGTAACGAGAAAATAAAATAAACGCCAAAAGAATAACGGCCTACGATCTACGCAGTGACCCACACAGGCGACATCTAACGTTACATTGTCTTGTGTAATGTGTATTAAGTAATCGTTAGTTTGTTCGTTCGAAACCATTTGTTAACCAATCCCCCTCTATAATTTGTATAAAAGAAAGAATATTTCGTAAAATATATCTTTGCTGACGAACATTACTCGTGGAATTCATCATCATTCATTTATCTAGCTTCCTTTCTATAAACAGCTGACACAGATTCACAGTCAGCATTTTAAAGTACTTCTCATTTAAAACTCCACTCCTCCCTCTCACAATTCTATTTTTTGCTGCCGATAATCTTCCTCGTTGTCACAACATCCCGGATGTATTACCCTTTCTTATATCTCAACCTTTTCATTTTAAATTAAATGACCATTACAATTTCTTCTCACTGACGTCTTCTATTCCTTCATTAACCTCCTGATTCCTAGTTTCTCTATCCTCACCTTTTCTCCCTCTCCACTTCCATTATCACATAATATTCCTCTATCTCCTACGTCCTCCTATATCTCTCTCAATTTTTTCTTTCATTCTCGGTATCTCCCCTCTTTCGTTCTCAAACTCCTTCCGCATCTCTCAATTACATGTTTCCGTATCTCTGCATCACCTTTATGAATATTTTCTTATCTTCCTCTTGCTCCGAGTAGTCCCGACTTGTCATCTCATTCCCAACTCTAACCCTCACTATCTTCTGTTGTCATTATTTATGTATTAGTTCTCAAATCAGTTCTACAGCAACTCTCACTGGGAGGTCATAGGGTTCGAGTCCCTACGGTGGCAGAAATTTCGGTACTAGCTATTTAACTGGGTCGAATTCAGCTGCTGCCTGGAGGGGAATTCTAGCGGCCGGATGCTCTAGCCGTAGTTTTCTGTTGCTTCTTCAATCAATATTAGATGATTGACGGAGTAGTAAGGGCCATGGACTGCACGGATTTCCCCTTCCTCCTCTTGTTTTATCATCACCTCGTGCTTGCTCACTTACAAGCGCTGTACTATCGCACATGTCGAGAGAATGTCCCGGCTGGGGGCAGTGCCTTGCTGAGGGAGATATCTGGAGGAAATCCGACGTGTTGATCTCACCGTCCCACGAATCCGTCCGAAGAACTCCGAAACCTCGAGGCATGCAAACAATGTATTGCACTAGCGGAATTGATTACCATAACAGTTGTTAGGCTTCGAAATGGTTTTCTATAAGTTTTGGGACGGCAATGTTGTAATGTTGATTGGGAGAGGCGACTGTTTTCGATCTAAAGTTGTTGATTCTCTGACCAATGAGCACGCATTTCGACCGTCGTACATTCCTATTTGAACTTTTATGGAGACATTGATTTTTTGGACCTGAAAGCTACTAAATATATCTATTGTAAAAATTATGTAATTTTGCTTATTTTAACTTACATATCTGCAGTTAGGTAACTTGTAAAATATTTTGTATTTAACACTGTTATTGTGTGCAAACAACTTTAACTCTAAAACGCACGAGCGTTGTATTTACCTGGAATATTCACAGTTCGTCAGTCTGACGGGTGATATATTTTAAGGGAAATTTATCCACTTTAGAGAATTTTAAACACACTGCAAGCATGTAGGATCATTAATTAACATTTTACTTGACTCACCGCACTCACGGCACAATAGCCTACAATAATGCAACTAAAATAAGTTCGAATGTTTGGAGAACAAAATGTTCACATGTACACTGTCTATGGACATACATTCATTGCAAAGACAGCGTGTGCGTAGATCATTTCATTCACTTGGTACGTTCTCTTCCCAGGCGACCGCACCTGACATATTTTGTTTTGTGCATTGCATGTGCAATTGCATGTGTAAGAAAATGCCAAAGCCTCTTCATATAAATACAGCGCCCCACAACTGCCTTTTTTACCTTTTTTGTTTTATAAGTTATACACCCTTTATACAACTTTCCTCAGGTGAACTTTACAATAACTCAACAAATTATTGTTTTAAAACTCAATAAGTTCTTTTTTTAATTTGCTGTACCCGAACAGTATATAAACCATTTCACAGGTTTCTAATATAAAGGGTAACAAACTATATACCAAATATCAGCTAGAAAACAAGTTTTATATTATATAACTCAAAAAGTAACGAGGTACTTGCAAATAAGCTAACTCAACTTCACCCTATTTATATGTGTGGGAGGAAATCCCCACTTGGAAGGACATTTATGTGAATTTTGGCTCAGCGCAAAGGGAAGGGTATCGGAGGGGGGAGGTGAGAGCTTTTGGATAGTGTTTGTGTAAGTTATGGTGGTTTAAATAGATCTTTAGGGAGGCGTGATTTGATTCTAGTTGGACCACTCGTTCACTTGTCCTGGGTGTAGAATCTACATCAGGAACCAGGTTTAAGTTGCTGTGTTGTTTTTTTTTGTTAGTTTTCAAAACCTGAGTGGTAGTATCCATGTTCAATTCTGTGTGGAGCTGTTTATTGGAAATATACCATGAAGCGTTATCCGACGACCGGAGGATTTTAATTTGAAATACTTGAATTCTCCTGAATAAGTCTGAAGAACAATTTCATGGTCCATCCCGTCATCTCATTAGGGATGCGACATCGTTGTCAATGTTTTGGAAACATCGATTGCTTTAAAATCAACGATGTATTTAACATTGATTGTTTGAAGCCGAGGTTTTGTATAATTGCCGGTAAAGTCGGTGTTTTTTCATGGTGAAGCCATGTGAAGCAAAGCCATGAAGCCGGTGTTTTTTCACGGTCGGTATTTTTTTAATGAAAACATTAAATCGTAATAAAGTTGAATTATAATTTTGAGATGTCCATAAATTGAATATTCTTCAGACTACTGTGACCAAGGGTAAAAAATAAAGTAATCGAGTTTTCATCAATAAAGATACCTATATTATTTTTATATTGTCGAATAGGATAATTAATCGTTTTGCTAATAGCCGTATGTTTTTTATTATTTTTTGTTTTATATCCGAATTAAAATTAATAAAGGTTTAGTAAATTCAAAGTAAATATTCCCGCGTGAGCTTCAGTGGTTACTAATCGAGTTCTAAAAACATCGATGTATAGAAAGATCGGTGGTTTTGGGCCGCTGTTTTGTTAAACGATGTTTAGAAACCGTTGGTTTTGGTCAATGTTTCATTAATCGATGGTTTGTGGCCGATGTTTTATTAATCAATGTTCAGAAACATCGATGGTTTTGGGAGGATGTTTTATTAATCGATGTTGAGAAACCTGGATGTTTTGTGGGCGCCGGCGCCTCCGCAGCGCCAGCCGTCCGAGCTCCGATTCCGCTCTTTTCTCCTTCGTTAGCTTGTGCAACCGCTCGTTAGCTCCATCTGAGGGCGAAGCCTTTTCCAGAGCGGAGAAAGTCGCCCCGCGTCTCGCGTCTCTTTCCTCGGGGGAGAAGAAAAAATTAATGGAATTTGCTCACTCGCAGCTGTTTTCACTTTTTAGAGAATGAGAAATATTTAGGTTTTACTC